ATTATATTCTCCGTTATTGTTGTGAAGCAGAATTATCAATTTAATGATCATTCCATCTTTATTTAAAATTAGATTATTATTTCAAAATTAACTATTTTGATAAATATTCTTTTGACCAATATAGTAACTTTTATTATTTATATATTAGTATCATTGCAATATATATTTAGCCAAATCATTAAGAAGTTATAGAAGTACTTGATTGCTTTAATCCTCTCCAAATTTAAAAGTACTTTTAAGATCGAATCACAAAATAATGATATCTAGTTATTTAAATAAATGAAAATATAAATAATTTTTACTATTAATAGTGGAAATAGCCTTGTATTTGTTCACATAAAAAAACACAAAAACTTATATTATTGAGACTTTGATATTAAATTTATAATGAAAATGTAAACGTTTATTTATATTATTATTGATGTAAAAGTTATTATGAATCAAATTTTGAGTATTATTTATATATTGTGTTGAGTTGTGATTTTTAAAAATTATGCTTAGTATTTGTGATTTATAATTGAGCGGATAATAACAATTTATAAGTCATATTTAATGGTAATGATTAGTCACATTTTCGATTACAAAACTTTAAATATTACAGCACCGGTTACCAAAACTGTTCTACAAATAATTGGGTCCAGCAGGAGCAGTACTGCAATTCCCCACGCCTAGCTAGTTGAAATCAGAAAAATGCGGTGTCCGTACTGCTCGGCGGAGCAAGGGCGGTGTACCAGCAGCACCAGTGGCAGACCGATAACCGAGTGCACATCCTGCGGCCGGGTAGTGGAGGAGCGATTAACCCAATCCCACCATCTTTTTCATACCCGTGCCCAAGATTCTCCTCTGTGCCTGGCTACTTCTGATCTCCCCACTCTTCCCATCTCCGCCACTAACGACGATGAAGACCCATTTGAACCCACTGGTTTCATCACCACTTTCTCTACTTGGTCTCTCGAACCCTACCCAGTATTTGCCCAATCCTCCATTTCATTCGCCGGTCACCTTGCAGAGCTCGAGCGGGTCCTCGAAATGACGTCAACTTCCTCCAGTTCGTCCTCTTCTTCTGTCGTGGTGGAAAATCTCCGGGCTTATTTGCAGATTATTGATGTGGCTTCTATTCTGCGACTGGATTCTGATATTTCGGACCACGCGTTTCAGCTCTTCAGGGATTGTTCTTCAGCAACTTGCTTAAGGAATCGGAGTGTTGAAGCGCTTGCTACTGCTGCTCTTGTGCACGCTATCAGGGAAGCCCAAGAGCCGAGAACTCTCCAGGTATGTTAAATTGGTAAATGGATGCCATAAATACTATGCCAAAAATCTCAATAGCAATAACATATTAGCTAATATTTCAATTCAAAAACTCAAAATAGATAGTACATGTTAAAAGTCTAGAACTTGAATGAGAAAAAAAAAGAATATAAGTCAAAACAGAGGTAGAAGTGACTCTGAAATCTGAGGAAGAACAAGGAAAAGAACTGAGGAAGAAGAAGAAAAGAAGAAATATGTATTGATTGGACTTTGGAGTTGCCAGAGAAGTCTGGCTGGCCGTCGGAGGAGTGTAGTCGAAAACCCTAAATGTACCTTTTAGCTTTTAAAATCCTAAATTTGTCGCCTTTTTTAACGAAAATACAAAATGCGACGCCTTTCTCGCCTCTCGCCTTTGTCGTAATGGCGTCGCCTGTCGAAGATGGCCTCGCCACAAAGCTAAAAAGCAATGAAGGGTCGCCTCGCCTCTCGCCATTGGCGACGAGGCAATCGCCTTTCACAACACTGGTAATTGCAGCTATGTAACTTCGTTTTTCTCAGTGCACCAACTGATTCAGCTGAACCTTTGTGATTGTAGTTTGTTTCGTATTGCTATTTCCTTTCTTGTTCTCTTGTTCAAGCTTATTTCCATCCTAGGGTTTATTCTAATGTTGATAACCTTTTGCCTTCTCCAAACCTCTCTTTTTCACTTACTACTTTTCCTCTTTCTTATCTTAAGTGGAAGATACCCTATATGTAGAAAATCATGGAAGGGAAAAAACAAAGAACAAAGAGGGAAATAGAAGAGAAAAGACAGGAAACTTTTGGTGGGCTGTAAGGGAACTTCTTCCTCCTCACCCCCCCCCCCTCACCCAGTCCCCCACCCAATGTTCTTTTCCTGTGTTTTTCTATGAGGGAACTCTTGTACTTCTTTCCTCTTCCCTTTCCTTGTTTCCTTTATTAGTGTGCCGAACCTGGAGTTGCAGTATAGTTGCATCGATGATATGCCCTGGGATTGACCATCAACAATAAATTTGCTGCTAACTTTAAAGTGGTTTAGAGATACTACCCATTTGATTGCACTTAAACCCAAGTAAATGGTCAATAACCTTAAGCTCACAATTTGAATTTTGTTTCTTGGTCTATTTTAAACATATACTCCGTGAAATAGAACAGTGCTTCAAAATAGCAATGACAATGTGGAAAGCAACATTCATGTATTGAATGTGAAGTACTGCCATTGTGTTACTATTGTCAATTGTCATTCTTGTAGTAAGTGAGCTAGAGAGAGAGAGAGAGAGGGGTCTCAATATTGCTAACTTGTCATTTTTTATATTATGCTAGTGTGTCTTTGTCAATGGTTGTTGATTGTAATTTGTATACCATGTTTAATTTGAAATAATCAGACATTCTTCCAATTGTAGGTCAACTGAACATTTGGCTTTTTTCGCCTCTTCCACTGGATGCTTATTTTTTGCAACTGAGTGGTAGTCTGAGATGCATTTCATAAAAAAACTTCCATGAACTTTCTGATTTTTCTGTGCTTTTCTAATTTGGATTAATTGATAACTAGGAAATATCAGTTGCGGCCAATTTACCTCAGAAGGAAATCGGGAAGTACATAAAGATTCTTGGAGAAGCGTTACAACTCAGTCAACCTATCAATAGTAATTCTATATCAGTCCATATGCCAAGGTTTTGTACACTCCTTCAGCTGAATAAATCTGCTCAGGTACCTAACTGGTTCATTCAGAAGTTAGTAATCAGTTAACTTAGATAATTGTATATACTATTGCCATTAACAAAAAATCAATAGCCGATAAAAACTCTATTTCCCAATCAATTTGTTTGAGACTGCGAATAAGTCATGTCATGTTGGTCCTATGTTTTTACTCAATTTCATCAAGAAGTTATTGTTTAGTTTACTTACGTTCCTCTGTATTTACTAAATCTTTTGACTGTATGTTGCACAACCATTGCATCAGGAGCTGGCGACTCACATTGGTGAAGTAATCATCAATAAATGCTTTTGCACTAGAAGGAATCCAATTAGCATCTCTGCTGCTGCTATATATTTGGCATGTCAACTAGAGGACAAGCGGAAGACCCAGGCTGAAATATGTAAGGTGACTGGACTAACTGAGGTTACTCTTCGTAAGGTGTACAAGGAGCTTTTGGAGAACTGGGATGATCTCCTACCATCAAGTTATAAACCAGTTGTTCCACCAGAGAAGGCTTTTCCTTCAGCTACCATTGCTACAGGCCGTTCATCAACACCGAGAGTTGATATAGTTGAGGGAACTTCATCTGAGAGGGACAAGCCAGTTAAACCAGTCGACTCATTAGATATATCTCCTCAGATCAGAGGCAAGGAGGACTCCGACAGCAAAGATAATATTAATACAACTCAATTATCTTGGCCACCACCATTTTGGAAGCCTCAAGCTCCTGCTGAAGGTGGTGTTAAATCAGCTACAGATAAGAGTCAGAATGCTACTGAAGAAATGGAGATTGATTTATAATATAAATCTCACCTTTTCACGAATAGCAAAAACTGCTTCTAGTTCTTTGATGTCAGCCAGTTCTGTTATCACCTGTGTCAACTGCAACTTCAGCTTCAGTGTTCTGAATCTCCAGCCTGCTGTATCACCTGGCTCTTTTGCAATGTTCAAGCGCTACTACCACAAAAGGTTGCATATAATAATCATGTAGATAGAGGATTCATTAAGTAAAGTTAGAATGAGGAGCCATATGTGGCTGGATAATAAGCAATTACTTTGGTTAGAAGATGGGGGGCCTATAAGAGGGAGAAATAGTTTATTCAAAAAGGCCTCGCATAAATTTCAGTTAGTACTCTCGTGGAGCTTTGAGCAACCAGATGCTTAAATGGACATTTCCTCAATCATCTATGAAGTCTTATTTCCCTTCTCCTCCTCATAATAGTTTCTTAATAAGCCACAGTTACAATGATAGTGATACTAATATCCTATTTCTTCTCCCAACACATATAGCTTGGAACACTCTCTGGTGTGGAGTACTGAGCGCCGCTGGTGATAACTTTTCGCCTTTATATATATGCTTTATTCATGCCTTGTTGATATAAAAATGGAGAAAGAAGATCTTAGGTTTCTAATTTTATTTGGCATATTGAGTAGCAGGTGAGAAACTAAATTCATTTGTTTTGAAAGCTCCTAAGTAGCTTAATTCTTTTGCTTTGGAAGCTCCCATGAAATATATGCCAAGTGGAGTAGTCGTCATTTTACCAGAGTGACTGAATTTTTCTTTTACGGAAAATTACGCAACTTCACTTCGATATTGTCATCTCGCCACTAGCATCATTTCCACTCTACATATCTCTAAGAAATAATCCTGACTATAGGATAGAATTCGTGTTTTATAACTTAAAAGTCATCTGACTTTAATTAAACATCAATGAATATTTTATTTGTTCAACATAATTTTTCACTATTTATTTAATACAGGAATTACGTTGATAAATGTAATTTTATCAAAACATTTTTATTAAATATTAGTCAGCTAAATATTGAAAAATAAATCCTAATTTATAGTAAGAATATCATTAGATATTTCAAAATAGCAGTCATATAAACAGGGAATGCATGCCTGTTTAAATTATTTTACTTTTGTATAATTTCTATATTATAATAAGCGTGTAACTATTTGATTTTAAAAATTGAAAGTATCTTTTATCATTAAATCATGTACTTATTGTGTTTAATTTTAAAACTTTGAGGGATGCAATATCTTAAAAATAGAGAGCATGTGTTCTGTTGTACTCTAATATTTTATTTTATTTATTTTAGAAAGAAAAGTTTTTTTTTTAAAAAAACGAACTCGAAGGAGTCTTTAATTCGAGTCTCGCAGTATAAAAGAGTTGAGCGTTGAGTATGAGCGGGATCCATTATTCTTGCTCAACAACAATTATTGAATTACTCTCTTGATAGAAGATTCAGTCAGGTATTGATTCTTATTTTCCAAATCATTCAATTTAGGGTTTTGCGTGTGCTTACAGTTCATAATAATTTGGGATGTTTCGCTTTGATCGCACCATAATTTGAGAGTTTTTTGGATTGTTCTTATCTTTTTCTGTGATATTCAGATTAGGCTTTTTGTATATTCTAGTTTTCGCAATCTGTTCTCTTCTTCTTTTTTCTTTTCTTTTTTTTTTGAGATTTCTATGCCAATTTAGTTTATAAGTTTTTTTCTTGAGAGACCGTTTTGTTGATATGTTATGTTGTTCATCAAGTATACTTTTAGATATATTTCATATAGAGTACCGTCTTTCCAGTATTGCTGGAAGAGATTATCGTCATTTGATCTTCAAGAATGTCAAGAAAATTATTTTCTTGCATCATAACTTCTTTTTTGAGCCAGTGGTCCATCGGAAATATTCTCCCTACCCCAGGTAGGGGGTAAGTGGTTCGTGTGTCTTAATTTCTACCCTCCTCTGATCCCATTACATTGGGTGTGTTGTTGTTGTATAGAAAATAAAAAGCAACAATCTTGACTGAATTTAGAGGTGTAAAATGGTGGGCAGATTTGGTCAAATTTGGACTGGTTATGCATCAAGTTAAAGCAAGTCAAAACTGAACCCTCAAGATGTTAGAGGCATTTGGTTATCTTTAGTAACTGAAGACTGAAAAAACAAGAAGGAGACTGTTGTTGCACTGTCTTAATCATCAGTGACTATAATCCATTCTTCCTTCCTTCTTATGGCTTCTAAACAAGATTTTGTGGTTTTTGGGCATATTCCATATTTTTTCTTTAGAACATACAGTGAAATTTGATCCTGATTAGTCTTTAATGTTCTGCTCCTCCTGTAGTAATCAGTAGGTTGTTGTCTTGTAAGTAACATGAAAGTTTGATATCTAAGCCATGCTTATATGTGGCAGACAGAATGATTACTGCTGATGATTCAAAAATTTTCCATCTTCTTATGGGTTAGAATCAAAATCTTATGTATTTTTTCAAATACACGATGGATCCTTACTGAAATTAGATTTTCCTTTCTACTTTTTGTTATTGGTATTTACCTTAGATAGTCTTGGTCTCTGTCTAGTGATTGCTGAGTAAGAAATATGAGATATGGAAATGCCAAGTTGTGACTGATAACTAATGTTCACGTAATGACCGCCTAGTGGTCCAATTGAATACATTAAAGTCTCTATTATATTTTACTGTGATATTCACCCTCATTGTGATGTCTTAGGAAAATATGGTTTCAAAGATATTTCTGGCCAACTTGAAAATGCAATATTCTCCTAGTCATCAACAAGCTCCATTTACAATCTTAGCATTTGTTGTTACCCGAAAATTTCTGCTTCCATGGTATGAAATCTTGTTTTGGAAGTTTCTGCATCTGCCTACTTAACAATTATAATGTTGGGAGGAGAAAAATGGAACTTTTGATTCCAGTTGTCCTAAATTGAGTATTTCAAATAAATAATTCTATATTTAGATTAGTGTTGTTGTTTGACAATTATTTAGATTGCAGTGATGGATCGTGGAAAAATACCAGACCTTGCTGCACGAAGTAATAGGATTTATCTGGATTTAGAGGACATCATCAAGGAGAATGCGCTTCCCTTCCTTCCTGCCAAATCAGCTGTCAAATTCCAAGCTGTTTGTAGGGACTGGAGACTCCAGATTTCGGCTCCACTTTTTGCCCACAAGCAGTCACTTTCTTGTAACAGTACATCAGGCATCTTTTCCCAGCTTAACAGGGGTTCTCCTTTCCTTATACCCATTGACGCAAACTCTTGTGGGGTGCCAGATCCATTTCTTAACTTCTTGCCTGAGCCCGTTGACATCAAATCCTCCTCCAATGGACTGCTTTGTTGCCGAGGTCGTGAAGGGGACAAGGTCTACTACATATGTAATCCTTTTACTAAGCAGTGGAAGGAACTACCAAAATCAAATGCTTATCATGGATCAGATCCAGCAATTGTGCTCTTATTTGAACCATCATTGCTCAACTTTGTAGCAGAGTACAAAATTATATGTGCTTTTCCATCGACAGATTTTGACAAGGCAACTGAATTTGATATATATTACTCAAGAGAGGGTTGTTGGAAAATTGCTGAGGAGATGTGCTTTGGAAGTAGAACAATATTTCCAAAATCAGGGATCCATGTGAATGGCGTTGTTTACTGGATGACAAGTAAGAATATTCTTGCTTTTGATCTAACAAAGGGTAGGACACAGCTCCTTGAAAGCTATGGCACTCGTGGGTTCTTGGGGACTTTTAGTGGAAAGCTCTGTAAGGTTGATGTCAGTGGTGATATAATCAGCTTAAACGTTTTGGCTAATACCCACTCAAATACAATGCAAATAGGTAGCCAAATCAAAATGTGGTCAGAGAAAGAGATTGTTGTTCTTGACAGTGAAATTGTTGGGGATGGTGCAGCAAGGAACCACACAGTTTTACATGTTGACAGTGATATAATGGTGGTTCTTTGTGGAAGAAGAACGTGCTCATACGATTTCAAGTCTCGTCTAACAAAATTTCTGAGCAGTAAAGTTGGAATTCTTGATCGATGCTTTCCATATGTAAACAGCCTAGTCTCCCTCTAAATTCAATCAGCTTAATGAGGAAAACAAACATCTCCTTTTCAGATGGTTACTTGTACTGAAGAAATTTGTATAGTATTCTTTGTGCTATGAACATCAGGCTTTTCGTTTTATCTTATATGGATCTCATGTTGAACATGTAACACAAATTTTTATTGTCAGAATATCTCATGTTGAACCTACTCCCAATGAAAAATTTAAAACTCACCAGGACGTGCATTGGGGACATTAACATGTTATTTTAAAATTTTAACCTACACTTTTGAAATTGAAGTGTTGAAAATTTTTCCCCTCCCAGCACACTCCCACCTTGCACCAAACTTGTGTTATTAATGCACGAGGAAAAAAACTTAAATTTTATTACTGGATAAACCATCAATTCATAGTGATCATATTTATGTTTTTTTTCAACATATATTTATATCCGCCTTACTTCTATTTTCATTTTTTTTTCTCTTGTTAATGTAGCATTGAGATTTCATTTGTTCTTCTTGGAAGTTGGGAACAGATCTCATGATATAATTAATGAAAAAAAGAGACGAGTCAATTTAAGCAACGACAGGTATTTTATTTTTGTGATTTTAATTTAAGAAAAATCATCGTAAAGAAAAATAACTTAAATACACAACTATAAGTTTAGTATTCTCTAATTTTTTCTTCTTTTTTTAAATATTACATAATTCTTTTTTTTTTAATTTTAATAGAAGTTTAGAGATACATAGTCTTCTCTCTCCTATAACACACGTTTTTTCAATATCATGCCTATTTTTTCTCCACTAAAGCACTTAATCTTTTAAATCACTTTTTAAATTTTGAATTATTACTTTTAATTAAACACGTTTCACAATATTTAATATGCAATTTTGAATTTCAAAAATCTGAAATTTCTAAAAATTGAAACTACCATTGTTCTCTGGTTCTTCTTACTCATCATCCGTCTCTGGTTCTTCTTCTTACTCCATCATCCGTTCTTCTTCTTTTCTTCTTGTTCATCGTTCTATTACATTATATTAATGTATCCTTTTACGAATAGGAGAATTTATGATTCGGACGATGAAAATAGAAAAAAATCTTTACATGATCATATGAATGTTCGGAAGGATTCAAACAAAGATATTGGGGAATCATCTAAATCAAAGGTTGCTAAAATACACCAAAAAAGAGAAAAGCATCAGCAACCATTATTGTCTGGCCGACATTGCTTCGGGGCATGTCTTTTTTATACTTCTTTCTATGTATCACGAGTATTTGAAATTGTTGCAATTTTTGAATTTTGAAATTCAAAATTGCATATTAAATATTGTGAAACGTGTTTAATTAAAAGTAATAATTCAAAATTTAAAAAGTGATTCAGAAAATTGAGTGTTTTAGTAGATAAAAAATAGGAATGATATTGGGGAAGTGTGTGTTATAGGAGAGAGAAGATTATATATCTCTAAACTTCTATTAAAATTTAAAAAAAAAGGAAATTATGTAATATATAAAAAAAGGAAAAATTAGACTTATACTTGTGTATTTAAGTTATTTTTATAAATATGTTAAAACACTAATGTATGTTAATATCTCTTTTAATTTTTAAAATTATAGAAGTATTACAATATTAAAATTTAATCAAAAAATATATTAAACTAGTAGAAACTGAATTAAACTCAAGTTTTGAATTGTATAATCAAAAAGGAAACTTCAAACATCGAGCGTGTTTAAATTGACTTATATGATGTGTTTCTAAAGTCTAAAATCATAAGTTAGAACTTTTGCAAGTCAAAAGTTAATGCAACCCAAACATGATTAATCGTCAAAAAGCAAGTTAGCCTATTTGGATTGATTTACTTTGAAGAGTTTTAAAATCAAAATAGTTTTTAACTAAATTATAATTTTAAAAAGTGTAACATATCATATGGTAAGAAAAAACCAATCCAAACAAACAGAGATAATTTGTAGATTAAGAATGAAGATAAACGTAATAGAATTTCATAGTATTAACCTAAAGAAACACTCAATTTCGACGACCTATGTTGGTAATCAAATTCTAATAACAAACTTAAGGATAGTCCAATTTTTCAAACTCAGTGTGAAATATATACCATCAATTACCATATTTTTCAGTTGAGGCATCGGATATCGACAAGAATTTGGGTCAGTAATGAAGCTAAAGTTTGGGTGACAAAATTGGGCCATGAATTTTGGTAGATCGAGATAATATACAAAGTACACAAGGCAAGAACAAACCTGATCGCTGACAACTGACGGCGAGAAGCGGCAGCCGGCAGTGGAGTGCAGGGGTTTTAACTGGAAAAAGACAGAGGTAATGTTGTAGGGTTCGGGAATTGGGGACTAATTATATTTATCTTAAATACCAAGCTCTCTTGTTTTTCTGTTTTCTGTTTTAATCAATAATTTTACTAAATTAATACTCGTTTAATTAATAATTTTTTTATATTCCAATTTAAGTCCACGGAAAAATCACATAATACATTTTTAGAATACTACTATATAAATATATGATCTCATTAAAATTATAAATTAATAATTTTTTAAAAATACAAATTTATCTAAGAAAATTTAGTGAAATATGATTGTATCATGTTTTTTTTTGTTAAAATTTAAGTTTAGTTCAAACTCATCTTTTACTTTTCTTCTTGCTTCCGAAAAATTCGATGTTATTTTTCTAATTGCACCATAAAATTTTGAAGTGTTCTAGATGCAAGTGTTTCCTTACTGGTTCCAAAGGTATTGTATCATATTCAATTTTATCATCAATATTATTTCTCCAATGATATCTACAACATGTATCTTTTCACCCATCCAATATGTTACTATCATTCATTTAAATTGCGATAATCTAGATTATTAGTATATGACCCTAAGTTCCATGAATGACGTTTCCACAATAGGGTTTTTTCAAATTCTTTGAAATTTCATTCCTAAACAATTTTTTCAATGCCAAAACACTAATTAAATTAATAAATATTAAATTATCTATTAAATAATATCTCTATAAAATAATAATATTCTATAATCCCAAATTGAGTGATTGATAATCGTTTAGAACTCAGAAGCACACCTAAGTATCTAAAAGGCATCTCACCTCTAGTAAAGCCCAAAATATTCAAGATAACTATACAATGTCAAACCAAAAGCATGAGAAAATTATTGAACATATCTTATGACACCCTTTTAAGATGATAATACTAATACTAATAAGTCGTCCACAAAATCTAATTGAATAAGTTTTATCTTTAAGTACCTAGGCTATAATTCAAAATTAGAACTGGTGATTAGGCTCTTCAATAATCATGAATTATACTCCATTACTAAAACAAAGAGAAAGGGGGACATAGAGTCACACTGTCTCAATCCTCTTCTAGCATCAAAAGGTACAGGTACAGAAGGTCAATCATTGATACAGATTAAGAGACTGTTTGATCAGTTGATCGTCAAATAACTGCTGCAAGTTCTTTTTGAATTCTTCGTTTGCGGGTAAATTACAGAGAGATAGGGACCATTCGAAATTATTGCGCTTATCGAAAGTCAATTTGACTAATTTTCAAAGGTAAATTGAATCATATTAATTCAATATTTTAAATAAAAAAATTAGATATTCTAAAACTATATGAAAAAATACTATAAATTGCAATTTTTTTGTATATTAATATGATGAAAATTAAAATATTAGTCAATTTTTTTTTATAATTTGACTCTAAAAATAAAAACCATGACAAACAATACCGAATGGAGGGAGTATTAAATAGTGCAAAGGGAAAAAGATCCTCCGTAAAATTTGGTATGGTAACAACAATTTCGATCAAAATTGAAGTATTCTTCAGACACCATTTCCTATTAAAAATACTCTTCTTATTGTGATCTAAATTTTTTAATTTAAAAATATAATTTAATTAAACGTTTTAAAACTTTCACGATAACTAGTAATTCTATCCTCATTCCTCAATATGAAGTATAATTATTACAATCGTAAATATTATTATTTTATAGAAATATTAACGAATCAATAAAATAGAAAATACTAATTATATTTTTTTTAAATTAATCTATATTTTTTTTCTCCTGAAAAGGAGGAAGAATGGAAGAACAAATAATAATAAAACATTAAAAAATTGAACGAAAGAGACTGAGTAAAGTATTGAAGTAAATTTAAATAAGAGTAATAATTTTTTTTGGACAGTGTTCTTTTATTGGAAGTGAATATTTTATTGGATAGTGTAATTTCTTAAAACCAACTACTTTTTCTCAGTGTTTTTTTAGTGCATTTTGACTCAAGTGAAAAATGAATTTACTGATCCCCATTAATTAGGAACTTACCCGGTCATGTAATTCATGCGAAAAAGATGTCAAATATATTTTCCCTAAATAAATATTTTAAAGTTTATTTATTTATTTAATTAAAATAAAAATGACCGGGTAAGCCTGTGAATTTATTTCCTTAAAGCCAGAGAATGCACACCTCCTCAAACTACAACTCTCATTCACTTCAGTCTTGAACTCTCCGTTCTTTACGCGTTTTTCCTCGTCGCGTCGTCGTTAGGGTTTTCCGGCGATTCTTTGCCATTCTTTCTTGGTTTTCCGGCGACTTTACTCACCAGAATTTTAGCGCATTGCACTTTGTGAGTTCTTCTTCTTCTTAATTCTTCTGTTGCTTACCGGTACTGATCATCACATGCTGTTGTTTATTTATTTAAAAAAAAAATAAGAAAAAATACTGAATTTCTCCGTTTTACAATTGCTGATCAATTTTGTCATGAAAAGATAGGATCATTTTCGTTTTTCTTTTGATCCAATTTTTGGTAGTGTTGTTGTTTCCTTTACATCTTCGAATGTATCGTTTTATGTTCTTGCTTTCTTGAGGAAATAAATGTAGCTATATTTAGTGCTCTATTCAATCTGGGGTTTTCTTGTTTCTTCTTTTTTTCGTTACTAATATTTTTCGTGATTTTCTCATTTACAGTACAGTGAAATTTCTTGAAACCCAAGTTATCATCAAGGGCTCTGCTGATAGGTGATACGGAGATGAATTTCTTGATTTTCTCATTTTCATATTATTATTTTTGTTAAGTAATAGACGCTGTAATTTTTAAATGTCTATGCAGAAAAATGGCATGTTCTGGGATTGACATGCTGAATGATGAATCTTTGGAGGAGGACATGTATTCTGACTCCTCTGAGTTTTACGTTGCTGTTAAACCTCAGGGTGGTGGGATTGACTCGGTATAGTTTTCTTCCCTTTTATTTCGCTTTCTTGTTTCTTGTTTCAATTGTTCAACAGTTCTTTTTTTTTTATCATCGTCTCTTCTATCCAACTTTCTAATGTTACTTTTTACTTGCTTTGGGATGTTAAGGTCTTGAAATCTCAATAGCAGAACTTGAAGTTTCTTGTTGAACGTTAATGTCCTTTTTTTGTGTCTTAAATGACTTATACTGAACATGACTCTATACTTTGCGTTTTCATGTTTTTTATTTCTAAGTGGTGGTTTCTAAGATGTCCATTTCGAAATTGGCAGATGGCAGATGTATTAAAGTAGTGTAAGTTAGTCCTCATAAATGTCCTTGGATCTCAGTTCTGCCCTATTCCGGTTTGCCTAAAGTTACAATTGTAACAATGACCTCAATTCCAAGCTAGTTTGGGCCAAATGTACTAATCCACTATCCTTTTATTTTCACAATGCCATGGTGTCATGGACAATCTCTGCTTCCCTGTTTTGCTAGGAAGCTACTTCATAAGATCTTGCTTTCTAGTCCTGATTTTTCTATTGTTCCTTTTCCCATTTTTCTTACATTAATGAATATATTTACTTTTTAAATGAGTCTTTCTGAGTGAACAACATGCCTAGCCTAAAAAGAGGAGTGGATACAAATATAGATCATCCTAACTAGTATGATATTGCAGCATAGTTAGTATATCGCTCTTGCTAATGATTACTGTACTACTTTTAACAAGTCTTTCGGTTTGGATTGCAGTTAGCAGAGTTTGACTTGAGAACTGCTGCTTATAAGGTGGAGGAAGGGAACAATGGTTCTAAATATCCTGTCGAAATCATAATGAGAGTGAACATGACGATCAAAGATGTAGCGAAGAGACATATACTGCCTTTCCTCCCCGCTAAATCACTGATGAAGCTTCGGGCAGTCTCCAAAGAATGGAATCAGTGGATAGCTAGTCCATTACTTGCGTACAATCAAAGTTCAACATTTCAGAAGCTTTCAGGCTACTTTTATCAAAGACTGGATAATGTAGATGATCCTCCTATACTTTTGTCTCTGCATCGTTCTGCAATTGGAGTCCCGAGTCCTTCACTTCGTTTCTTGCCTGTGAAGGTTAAAGTACTAAGTTCTAGCAGCGGGTTGCTCCTTTGTCAAGGGAAGGACAGCTATTATGTTTGCAATCCTGCAACCAAAGACTGGAAAAAGCTTCCTCCTCCTCAATATTACCACGGATCTGATCCTGCTGTTGCTCTTGCATTTGATCCTCAGTTCAATATTGAATCATTTTATCGTGTGGTCGCTGCAGTCCCTGTTCTTGATAATCCAGTTGTATGCTTTGAGATTTACTGTTCTGAATCAGATTCATGGAGGTGCTCTCCTTCAGACTGTCTAGAGCTGGAAAATACAAGACTTGCAGGTGGAGGATATTATATGAAGGGGGTGGCTTACTGGAGGAATACATCATCGAATGAAGTGCTAGCATTCGATGTGAAAAATGAGATTCCAGCAGTTCTACATTTACCTGTTCTTCAATCTGGACAACGTGGTGCCTTGACGCAGATAGGAGATGAGGTTTGCTATGTTACTGCTTATAATGACTGTGGAAGTGTTTTCATAATAGACATCTATGGAGGTGTAGACATGGGCCTGAAGCGCAGTGTCAGTGTAAATCTTGGTAGCAAGAAGCCTCGTACTCAAGTGCTTGGAATACCCAATGAGAAGTGTTGTGAGGTACTACCTTGTACTGTCAGTGATACTGTGGTGATCCACACGGACACAACAATATACTTTTATCACCTTAGGGACCAGAAGGTTGAGACACTGCAGAGTCCGGGACGAGTGGATACTGATAAGAGGTTCTTACCCTACATAAACAGCCTTGTTATGGTACACAATGCTGGAGAATAACCCAAGGGAGCAGAACAGTGTGGAGTCTGGGACGAATACTGATGAGAGGTTCTCAGCCTACATAAGCTGCCTCGTTATGTTACAAGGATCTGGAGAATATGAAGTAGTGCCCTTGATGATTGTTTCATTTGGGCTAGTAGTATGATTTGTTTTTGTCCTCCAGTCATTTTACTTTCTTGCTGCTAGTTTTCAGTTTTGGTTCTAAACAAGTGCAAACTGTTGGAATTGTATAGTCAGGTTCTCTTTTGACGATAATACTTACAGTTTGGAACTA